TGTCAGATCTCTGTGGGACACCCTGTATACTAAAAATGTTTTAGTCATGTGATAACAATTTTGATTTTAATTTTGAAAGACTTCCCATAAAACATATCAAATATTATTTAATATTTAATATTTTTTTTACTATTACCTTTTAATCATAATTACAATTATATAGTTAACATCTGAAAAGACAAATTCACAAACAATGTCAGATATTCAGCGGATTCGTAATTTAACTGATGACAGTTCATTAGGCAGCTTTAAAAATGAGGTAATTATGGGTTTTTATACAAATTTAAGAGAATGCTATATAATGATTTGTTGTCTCTGTCGTACTAGTGTGTGACTTGGCAAATTTACGATCAGTAGATCACGTGTAGCTTTGGTAGTTTAAAAATTAGAGTGAATCAACTAATTATGAAACTTGTTGGTAAGAACATTATCTGTGTTTGTTTGTATGACTGTTTTTTTTTAAATAGTTCATCTTTTTTATTAAGTTTTACGTATATAACGTACCGTAAATTAAAAATGCTCATAACTCACTTAAAAACTGAATTGTAAAAAAGCCCACTTACAAACACAGATATTGTTATTCCATCAAGTTTTATAATAATTAATAGGTTTAAATCGTTTAATTCACTATAATTTGTAAATTAATAGATTGTTGAAGCCGAGCCTAAATTTGCTTTGTTATACACTTGTAAGACAGAGACTACAATTAATGGTCGTTTAAAGTCCTCTTCAGTATACGTAACTAACAACGTGTTTGTTAATATGTTTAGGAATTGGAAAGTAATGATCATGATGGTGATATTGAAGATTCTGAGGGTGAATGGATTGGTAATGCGAAAATAAAAAACACTGTTCTGTATTATCCATCCAATAACAATGATCTTGTCAAGTAAATTCTTGAATAATTTATATTTACAAAAGTTAATAAATAGAAGAACTTTTATTTTTATTTTATCTAGTGATTTTACAATTACAAAATTAGACTCTGATGCTCTTAGAATGTCTCAAAGAAAATCAAAAGCCACTAAACAAAAAGACCGTTTATTATCATCTGGCCTTACTGATTTATCTAGTCATTCAATGTCTGGCAGCCAAGGAAGTGATGATGATGATGATGATACTTCAACTCCGAGTGTTGATCACTCGGATAAAAATTCRGCAATGTTTTCGACTAGGTAAAAAACTAAAATTTTACTTTTAAATATTATTAGTTTCTTGACTTATTTATTTATTTTAGTACTGAAAGATTAGACATGATTGAAAAACGCGAACAATTCTTAAAGAATACTTTTGAATCGCTTGGTGGAACTGAAGCCGATTTTCAAGACAACCAATATCATTTCCCAAGTAAGTTTTAACTTAAATTATTAAAATAATTAATTGCATGATTATCTAGTAAATATTTTTCAAACTTGAAGGTAAGAGAAGTATATCTTCACAGTACAAAGGAAACAATAACGGTTCTACTGTACAACAGAACACAAACATTGAATCTCAAAGTAAAAGAGAAGAACTTCAGCAAAGGATTGAAGAAACTCGAAGAACTTTACAAAACGTCTGTAGAATAGATTATTTTGTAACTAAAAAATATTATTATATTTCAATATTTCATTTTAGTTGGGAGCTCATTCCAATTTAAAAGCTAGTCAAAGTATTTGTGATTTAAGTAGAAATTATGGGAAATCTCCATCAAAATTACCAGTTCGCAACCATTTATCAGGTATAGAATGTTATTAGTTAAGCATATTTGATACAACTGTTTTTTTTCGAGATTAATTTCTTTATTTTCCATCTATATTATACCAATTGTACTTGCTATCCTAGTTTTCTACTGCAGTCTTTACAATTTATAATACATTTTTACTCAAAAATAAAATAATATTTGTTAAGTGCACAACAATGTTTTGTTTACTTGTGCATGAATATGTGGAATTAACCCTTTCTTTTAAATGAAMCTATGATTACACACACTAATTAACTACTGGTATACATATTATATATGTCATGGACTAATTTACTAACCAAGTTGTCTATACTAAACTCCTTTAAAGTTAATGGTTTCCTATTCTCTTAAGGGGGGAAGGCTTCATACCAATATTTGTATTCTGTTTGTCTTAGGTGTAATAGAATAATAAAGATATTTTGTACTTCACAATTATACCTCCGTAATGTAGTTAAGGAAAATATACTTRAAAAGTTATAACCTAAAACTTAAATAATATTTCATGTACATTTGCCGCTATGATAAATTTTTCATTAAAAAAAGAAAAGAAATTATTAAGAAGATATTACATATACTTAAATTTGTTTCGTCTTACAA